CAGGAAAAATGTGGGCGCATCAGTACTGGAATTTGCCTCAACCCCCAGATATAGTAACTTTCAGTAAGAAAATGATCACTGGCGGATTTTACTTCACCGACGAAATGCACGTCAAAGAAGTATGCACTTTTTCATGACCATTTTAAACCGACTCTGATGCATCGTTTAAATCTAATACGAAGTTGAACAAACTCATTATCGTAGTAAGATTTTATAATATAGTACAGTTGTTGGCCTTTCAAGATGTTTTAGTTGTTATAACGATGTGTTATTTTCCTTACGTCATTTTTTTTGAAAAAAATTTATTGATATATGTTGCTAAGGCCCAAGGACAGGTACACAATTTTCCCATCCTAAATCACCAGTACCCTCGATATTTCCCACCTTAATCTCGATTATCTGATACAAATCTACACCCTGTTGCAATATTGCGGTGGGATGAAACAGAGAACTAGAAATGATATGCAACTTCTTACTTAAAAACAGTATCCAAAAAGAATAATTAATGATTATTTCCCTGCCTTTCTTGTTACCGTGCCTTAATTCAGTATTTTCCGGAGTAATAAAAACAAAACCCATGCTGTTACAGTACAGCGTATTTGTTTCTCTGTTTTTAAATTCTTTCTTCACAAAGAGAATCATGAAGTAGTGCACGTAAAGTGTGGAATGCCAAGGAACCTACTTTACGGACAACTTATGAAAATGCCAGAAGATTTGTGAAATTTCGCGCCGAAGTCAGAGCCTAAACTTGATGTATAAGATAACCCTGATGTGATGGTGCGGTGATGTGACTGCGCGCTGATCAAGGATATCTGGACGTGATCAAATCCTCAGGAAGTGCCCCACGTTTATGAATTTTTTTCGTCTGGATGGCGGAGACATGCAGTAGTTCAGTAAGGTCGGCGCTTCTCAAAACATTGCAGCGGAAATATTGCCAAGAAATCGTTCAGTACGAGAGAAGATTACAGAAACGTCGGCAATCCGCGTAGCCACTTTCAAAAACAACCGCTGTTTCAGCGCAGATGGTCGAACACGTTATTACGAAACGTGTCTATGAAATGTGTTCACTTCTGTTCAAGAGAATACTGCATTATTGTGTCTCCTTTAGAGGCCGAAGGGAAGTCCCACTGGATGCAGCATATACAGCATTTGGAAATGGATTACTAGCCTTCGTTAATGACAGTATGATCCCAACCGGCAAATGCGACGACAAACTAACACGCTTAATGCCTTGAGTCGTCCTCATTCATTCTCTTCTCAGAATGTCAGTCAGTCAGTCAGTTTTAGACGACAGTTTATTTGTTCGGGCAGCGGATGCAAACCCTTCATACCGTGTCTACAACGTTCTCGATTTTGTGCTAGCGTTTAAGCGTCTGCAGAAGATAATTCGAGCGTGAAGCGTACCAGTCCTACGACAAACTTACATCGCATTATTCCTTGTCGGTCGGCTGAGCTAGTAGTTGCTGTTTCGTCTTCCTTGCCGAAAGCATT